CACTTATTAATAATCCTAAAAATTACTATGTGAAAACAAACAAATACAAACTATGTTATTCATTTTGGAACAACTTGATTTCATATTTTTTTGAAAAAGTTTGAATGATGTTCAACTCAATAGAAATTGAGCTGATAAACACGAAAAATGATATTATTCTAAATTGAATAACACAACTTTCATCCATTAATATTCATAGAGATATACCAAATAAGTAAATAGCTATGATTTATTTTTGTCTATTGGATAATCAAAAACCACTCTCAAATATGAACTTTGCTAACACAGACGAAATTGTCCAACCTTATCTCAAATTTGGCATCAGGCCGTACAACACGGGACATGTTTAGTTTGTTTTTTTGAAATTATTTTCAAAAAAATTATGAAAAAATAAAAATTAATTTGATAAAAATAAGGATAAATTACAAACATACCCCCTGAGTTTTGATTAACATATGAATCGTCTCACGTGATTTTGAAAATTACATTCCCCTTGAAGTTTCTAATTTTATAACAAATCACTCTTTTTTATTAATAAATCATCAAATCAATTAGCTGTTTTTAATGATATTAGAAATATGTTGCAATTAATAATTTAGGTAATTTTATTATTGTATAGGAGAGCAATTATGAATTTCATTTTTTAGTTAATTCTGTTAAATAAAAAATTCTAATAAGGGAGTATTTGTAGTTTTTCAAACCACAGGGGACAATCTGTACTTTAAGCAAATCTCAGGATGTGTATTTGTCATTTATCCTAAAAGTAAACATAAAAAATATATTTAAAATTTTTTTAAAATTATTTCTGTCCTTCTAAAAGATAAAAATTATATAAAAATGATAATTTTTTTTATTTTTTCACCAAGTTAATTTTTTATTTTTTAAGGTGGACACGTAAATAAAATTAACAAAAATTTAGACAAATGACAAAATTAAAGCTAAATTTAAAATGTAGGAACTAAATTGTTCAAATTAAAATTACAAGAATTAAAATAAAATTTAAGTCAAACTATATAAGCAAAAAGTGTAATTAACCATTGATTTTTGGAAAAATTACCAAGAAGTCTTTTTTGAAAAATGTGTAGTCTATTAAGTCCCATAACCTTTTGTTTATACCCAAAAGTCCTATAATGTTATTCTTCTTCTCTGCCTCTTTTGCTCTTTGTGATTTCTGGTAATCGTTGACTGGTAACCATATCTTGCTTCTTCTCTTTCTCTTTCCGATATATAGTCACCGGTGACCGACGACTACCATCAATTGGGATTCACCGGCAACCACCGACCGCCGACTCCTTCTTTCACCCTCTCCAACGATAAAGAAGATTTGCTTCCGACAAAAAAGATGAGTAGATCTGATGTAGATCTACATCAGATTTGAGTAGATCTACATCAGATTTGGCTAGATCTAAACAAAAAATAGTCGTCGGAGTATAATCCTCTCTCTATATCCGCCTTTCTCATTCGATCTCTTATTTTTTTCTACATTCTCTGCTATATACTTCTCATTTTCTGTTCTAATAGAGAAAATTTTCAAATTCTAAACAAGTTGTTTTCGATTTTTAGTTACAGGCGGTGAAGACTGTAAAATTTTGCAGTTTCAAATTTTTTTGGTGCTGGAATGAATCATGGTATAAAACTGTAAAATTTTGCAGTTTCATAACGTTCTTTAAAACTGTAAAATTTTACAGTTTCATAACATTTTTTCAGTTTGATTAATAATGATAAATGCTTAATAGATTTTTGCTTTGACACTGTAACATTTTACAGTTTCAAAACTTACTTTTCAGTTTGATCAATATTGGAGATTATTTGCTTAAACCTTACAAAAATTGAAAAATAGCGTATGTTTTTCCCATTGTTGCTGGTTTTTGTTGTTTCATTTTTTTCTTTCTTTTAGTTTATCAATGTTTAGCACATTTCACTATAAGAAATGTCACTTTTGGCTACTAAAATATTGGTCACCAAAAGTCCAATAATTGGTCGCTGAAACGATTTAGTGACTAAAAGTTTTGTCACCAATTTCGTCGCTCATACCTTGTCGGCGATAGTATTGGCGACTATACTTTATTTGGTCGCCAAACAGGAAACATTTGCCTACTAAATATGTTTTAGTCAGCAAATGTTATCTTTTCCCCACTAAAACTGTTAGTCGCCGAATGTGACTTTTGGCGACTAAAGTTCGTGTGGTCGGGGAAGGTGTTAGTTTTTGCTACTAAAAACTTGGTGACTGAAAGTCACATTTGGATACGAATTATAGTCAATCGGCAACACATGGCATTTCGACGACTAAAATATTGGTCACTAAAAGTGCTACCGTAAAATTTTGAACAACTATTAAGGACTAAATATTTTGGTCACCAATAGAATACATATTTTTTCACGACCATGCAATTTTGTTGTTGTGACTTTTGCCGACTAAAATTGATCGTAGCTAAAAACCTCTTAAGTTTCACTTCATTACTTTTTGCCACCAAACGTTTTAGTCGCCAAATGATACCATTTTGTTTTCCGTGACTAAAAAATTTAGTGGCCAATAGTTTCTTTCTCTCATCCTCCATGGTTTTAGCTACTAACTATTTGGTCGCAAAAAGTTTTTTGGTTATGTTTTTGCTACTAAATTATTCGTCGCCAAAACATTTGATTACATATTTGGCTACCAAAATATTTGGTGGCCAAATACTTTTTTGTTTTTTAATTTCTAAGCAACCTATATATAATGGAGATATCCATTATTAGTACAACCTGTACCCTGTATAAACAATATAATCCATCAACGCTAAATATATTATCAACCATTCAAGCATTCAACAACGTGCACACATTTCAGTTTCAACCATCCAAAAAATTAATATTGAACGTCCAATTCTATATATAATACAAATTCTATACGAACCAAGTCTAATCCAACGTCAATAATTTAATTCCATACATAATACATGAATAACCAAATTAGCTAAAATTGACAAAAAGGACATATGTACCACAACAAAAATTTAATCTGTACTACCCCAAAACTATTTTGTACCACGTGCTATGGTAATTTATACCATGCCAAATTAGCTGATATTTACCATACCAAAAAAGTAATTTGTACGAACCAGTATACATACGGATAGAGGTATAAAAACAATGCCCTCCCGTACTTGTCAAAAAAAAATCATATCCACATTTGTATGTCCAAAACCATCTGCACAAAAAAAAAAAATTGTCATTAGTTTGGTGCCTATAGAGGCACTTATGGACGACATATAGCAACTATATTAATTTCAAACATTAAAAGACAACAACAATAATACCTAGTAACTAATGAAACTCAAGCAAACATGGACTGGTAGACGAGCATCGATTCTATGAATTAATGCCAAAAGTTATGTTTATGGCAATTACAAGGGCCACAGTCAACAAAAGCACAAAACAATTTACCAAAATACGAATGTTCACAGCGTAATTTGAGAAATCTTTCATTGGAGGACAGAGAAATAAAGGGAAATCGAGAGGGAGATACAGAGAGAGGGAGAGGCAGATGCGAAATGGAGGACATACCTGGGAGGGAGTTCGGGGGATGATCTAGCAAGCCTTGCGTGGCGATGGAGACAAAGCTATAGAGAAGAGGGCAGAGGCGTGAGTGAGACCCAGTGACAGAGGCGTGAGTGTACCAGTGTATAATCGCGTATATATGGAATCAAGGTTGTGTATATATGATTTGTATGTGTAAACAGAGAGAGAGAGAGAGAAAGCGGGAAACCGAGAGGCCTCTATGAGAAGGAGACAGAAATCGAGAGGGAGATACAGAGAGAGAGGGAGAGAGGCGAAATGAAAGACATACCTGGGAGGGAGTTCGGGGAGATACAGCAAGGCTTGCGGTGATGGCGATGGAGACAGTGCAGTGACAGCGGCGGAAGTGCGAGAGGGAGGGAAATGGACTTCTTTTGCAATGAAAATAAAACAAAAAAATATTTATTCTCGACCAAAATTAATTTTCGTCGCTAATATTTTTATGAAAAATTAATATTTCCTCCACAATTTTGTGGCACGTTTGGCTACAAAAAAATAGTCGGTGAACCTTTCTGATTTAGCGACCAAAATTAAAATAGTCGCCAAAACCCAATTATTTCCACGACTAACACATAATTAGTAGCCAAAAATTAAATAAATATCAATAATAATAAAAAAAAAATTATAAAGACTCTACGATTAGCGACCGACATCATATTTAGTCGGCCAAAATGATATTTTTAACGACTAACGTGTAATTAGTCGCCAAAAGTAAAGACAATTCCGACTACATATATTTTTAGTAGCGAAATAGTGGATATTTACTGATCAAAACAGTTTAGTAGCTAATACGTGAACATTTGGCGACCAAATATTGTTTGGTAGCTAATGTTTCTACCATTGGTGACCAAAAAAGTTCTAGTAGCTAACGCGTACACCTTTGGCGACTAAATTTAGTTTTGTCGGCAAAATTAGTCACCGAATCTGTTCTTTCTTGTAGTGTTTTGCTATGTTTTTTCGCTCTAATTTATCAATTTATTCTTTTTTTTTCGGCAATATTTTAAACATTTCGGTGAGTCTCCAATGATGTTCTTAACGTCCAGTGAACGTTCTGAACATTCCGGTGACTTCCATGAACGTTTTTAACACTTCGATGAACTTTCGGCGATACTCTGGTGACTTCTCGGCGATACTCCGGCAACTTCCCGGTGATGTTGAACATTCCGACGAGTCTCCGGTGACCGTTTGACGAAAGTCCGACGCTAGTATAATGCAACAGTGTCTGTAAATTAAAAAAAAAAAAAGATTTTTTGGTCACAATTAAAAATATATAAGACTAATTGGTACAAGTGTTTTGTTTGAGGATTAGATGGGTCTTGAACTTTATATATGGGACTTATTGGTAAGTTCCTCTTGATTTTTTTATAAATAGTTTGGTGATTGAAAGGTGGTTGAAATGAGATTTTCTCCTTTTTTTTATGGACCCCAAACAAACTTTTTGTGTGCATAAATAGCAACATAATAACTTTCTTTCCTAAAGCACCCCCTCACCTCTCTCTCTCTTTCTCTATCCCTCTCTCTCGCTCATGGCTCACCCAGAACATGATGAGAAGAAGCATGAACTCAACAGAGACTTGTACAGTGCTCTGATGAGAGGAGATGGGAATAAGGTAATTGAACACTGCAAGAAAATCCCACAAGGCCCATTACACTCACTAACCATACACAATGACACAGTCCTCCACATGGCTACTTACTCAAAACAAAAACAGTTAGTGCTTCAATTGCTTCAATTGTTGCCTGATAAAGATAGCAATGAAGACATCATGGCAGAGAATGATATTGGAAACACTATACTCCATGAGGCAGCTACTTCCAACAGGATCGTCCTCGCGGCGAAAGAAATGCTGGGAAAAGCTCCCGAGCTGTTGAGAAAGAAGAACAGGAGGGGAGAGACTGCTCTTTTCCGAGCCGCCCGGTACGGGAAAATGGAGATGTTCAAGTTCCTTGATGATGAAGTCAATAGAGTCTGTGAAAATGAAAGAATAGAAAAGACAGAAAGATGCAGAGAGTTTTATCAAAGGGACGATAATACCACCATTCTTCACATTTCCATCCTCACTGAGCACTTCGGTTTGTTACCCTTATCTTGCCCACACATGCATACTTTTCGCATTTAACTCAAATTTTATTTTGGTGCCAAATTTTTTCATGGGTATATTTTAAGAAACTCTGTGACAAAATTATTAATTTTAACATCTAATTTGAAATTAAAACTGGACATAAAGTGTAAGAATTAAATTGTTCAAATTAAAATAATAAAAATCAAAAGTGAAATTTGAGTCAAATTATAAAGACAAAAAGTATAAATTACCCAAAATTTTATTTTTCAATTATTTATTTATTTATTTTTTTAGAGAAAATTTTATTTTGCCCTCTAAACTATCACTCAAAAATCAATTTAACTCATGTCCTTTTAATAATATTAATTTTATACTCAAACTATTCGATTTTATATCAATTTAATCCTTACCGACAACTACCATCTACAATCAAACGGAAGTCACTAACGTGATTCTGAAATTTTATTCAAAACTTCATTTTGTCCCTCCAAATTATCGCCAAAATATCAATAATCAATTAGACCTCTAGATATATAAAAATAATAGTAAATGAATTTAAAAGGGAATATCATTTTGCCCCTCAAATTATTACTCAAAAATCAATTGGCGGTGAGATAAAATTGAAGCAAAATCAAATAATTTAAGTATAAAATTGATATTATTAAGAGAATATGAATTGAATTAATTTTTGAATAATAGTTTGGATGGGCAAAATAATATTTTCTCTAAATTTAAATGTTTAATTATTCAATAATAATTTTTATCATCCAATATCGTTTCCCAAATTTCGGAAGAACATATTTTTCTTCAAACCTGTGTGGTCTAGATTTTAACCCACAGAATTTAACCAACTGTACGGGGAAGAAATAATTCTCCTCGTATAATCCTGTTGACCAAGTCCACGCTCCTCCGTACGACGTCGCTTTATAACCTGAAAATACAAAAGTGAGCTAGCCGGCGGGTGTGTGCCGGAAACCTCTCCGATGCCTAAGTCAGTAAGCTTGACAAATAGACAAAGTTTTATGCTCTCAGAAAGAATTATGTTCAATTACCTCCTCCAAGGTGATGTTTGTGGGCTTTTATAAGTTTCCCGTGGCACAATCCTAGTAGGACTTGTATTTCTCCATGCAGTGTCCTCCCAAGATTCATACTCCTAAGGATAATGCTTATCCTTTTACACCCTCCCCCACTGCTTAAACCAAGTGGGATGGTTTCCTCCATGGCCGAACTACCATTTAACCGAAATAAAAACTGGCTATGTAGAGCTACAGAGAAGGCCGAACTATCCTTAGCTCGGATTTCTCCTCCAACTCCTTATCTCGGCTTTCCCCTGTTCAACCATGGTGTGTTTAGATCAAACTTTCAAGTGGCAAGTTCTGACCGACCTAACCATAATATGTCACGACCGGACTAAATGCAAGGCCGGACTCACTTCAAACTGCCACCGGACCGGAGTTGCTTTGCACATTCTTGAATCGGAGTAACCACACCCCTCCTGGGCCGGAATAACGTCACTTCTCCTGGGCCGGAGTACCTATACCTCTACTGAGCCGAAATAACATTACGGCTTCTTACCGATTCCTTCACACTTTGGGCCGTAGGGCCCAACTCACAGCTCGGCCCAATTCTTTCCCAAAAATTACCCTCTCAATTGCCCCTTAATTTCATCTGCATAGCATGATTGAGATTACAAATCCTTCAACCGAGCTGAAGTTCTACAAGCCTTTCCAGCCGAGATAAAAACCCTTCAGTGTATCCAGCCGAGCTAGTTTTACTCCGAACTCTGTTTTATCCGGTCAAAACGTCTCTTCAATCGCGACTGTAACGCTTCCCTTTCCCTTGCCACGTGGCGGGCTCTGATAAGCCGTGAGCTGTCATCACGTCGCCTTCGTACTTCGAACTTTTTGAACAGTCCCGCCCCTTTTTGCCGCGTTTTTCTCTCTCCTCTTTCACAAAACAACCCTTGTTTTTCTTGGATTATTCACCTCCCATTCTTCATCTCCTCTTTCTGTGTTCTTGCAGTTCGTGTTCTTCCTTCACTTTTGAGAACTGATTTTGCTGCCACTTCCCCATCATCAGATCCCACTTCTTCCATCTGGTAAGTAGACTCACTTTGCTTCCTTTATTTTGCTTTCGCATCTGTATATCTTGTTTTGTATGTTTTTTGCAAACATTTTCTTTCATTTTTGACGCTTCGCTTTTGTACTTTCACGAAAAAACAATAGCAGAGCTTATATATGCATGAACTCCTATAAAAAAAACTTGCCTTAGATCCAAAACTAGGTAGCAACCGAACTAGGATCCTGTTTGCCCCAAATAGGTAGATCACTGTAGTCAATAACCGAACCAGAACTTGAAAGTTTCAAAGGGTTACCAGAGCCTGACTCACTTTAGCCGAAATAAGATCACCGGGTTTTGAATATATCAAACTAGGAACTTAGGTTTTCAACCGAACAAATGCTTTTGGGGCCAAGCCGGCTTTCTTAGTTCTTAAACCGAACTCAGAAAGCCGCCCCTAGAGGCTTAACCGAAGTAACTTTATTCACACTGCAACCTATTTAGGCCTTGGGGCTAAACCAGCTTTCTTAGTTTTTTAGACCGAACTAGGAAGCTGCCCCTAGACGTTAAACCGGTCTACCGAGCAAACTGCTCAAACCGAGCTACCAAACCTTTTGATGAACCGAGATAGAACCAGTTTCTTGAGGTCGAAGTAGGGCTCTTATACCTTGCTTTTAAATTGTAGCACGGTCCATTGATCAGTGCTTTAACCCCCTCTGTTTTTTACTTTGCAGACTTAGGTTACCCAGGCACTCCTGCGTGCGCTCAACCGAGCTACTGAGCACGATTTTTGCACCGATATAAATTATAAGTAAATTATTCATCAGATGGGTAAGTATAGGTATCTAGTTGAGACCCCTGGTGGCATGGCCGAATTTAGGAAAGATTACCAAATTCCTGATGACGTCCATCTGACGTTGGCCAAAAAAGATGTTATTCCTTGGGAAAATGAAGGCTTCGTCCCTTTTACCCTTCAGTCCATAATAGAAACCGAACTACGGTTTCCTGTCCAACCGTTGATCTGCGAATTTCTTAGGCAGACTAGATTATGCCCCACCCAACTGTCCACCAATACATATCGCATCATAATGGGAATAGCCGCACTGAACCACCAAACCGGACCGAACCTCGGCCTGGCCGAAATTTTCCATCAATACTCCATCGGCTCAAAAGATGCTGGGTGGGTCTATTACCTTAGGATTCGCCGCCGCCGAGAGAAGATAGTTAAAAACACATCGGACAAAGATCTTAACGACGATGATTTTTTCTGGGTCTCTGGGAACTTTGAGGATTTTCAAGCCCAAATTCCTGGCCGACCTATAAATTGGAAAAAGGGAGAGCCCGGTAATTTAACTTCGATCTTCTTCCTTGTATATTATTTCGGTTTTTTTAGTCTATTAGCCGAACTAACACTTCTCTTTTTGTAGATTTTGCCCACCTCCGTTCTCTATACAGCTATCCCAACCTTGCGATTTTGCGAGCCGCACTACGGTGTAAAGAAAGGAGTTGGGCCAAGCTTCTAAACTTTGAACCGACCTACCGATATAGCGGTCGCCGAAAAGCAAGAGTAACCGATTTCCTTCTTGAGGAAGCACCAGAACCGGACCCAACCTTACCAGAAATACGA